ATTTATTTATATATATATTTATTCATTTGTTCATTTATTTGTTATCTATATATGCATGTGTTTGTAAATCCCACATTACTGTGTGGAGCATTAATTTATCAGAATTGAATTAATGAGGGTAAGTTTATTAATGGCTGCGTATTGATACTATAGGAGAGTATTAATGCTAAGCGGATTTTGGTATTCAAGCGATGCTGTTGCCAGTATTTGCCGTAGAAGGGTTAGACCTGTACGAACGTATTCGGATATCCCTATAGTGTCTCGTGCAGTATCTTCGCAATGTGATATTATCTATATATATATATATACATATGTATGTAGGTTTGTTCGTTTGCAATATATGGGCTGAATGTGTCACTCTCATGTACATTTATATATACAGAGTATGGTGTATGTCGACACTTCGGCTTATGAAGTGGTATGGAATACTTCGCTATAGACTTAACGTATGTGTATGTGTTTGTTACTACAATTTGTATCGCACACAACTGAATGCATATCCAATCTCGAACACACTGACTGTTGATCAAGGACAGCGTCCCATATTTAATCATCTCAAATAATTGTGAAGTGTATTCCACAATCAATATATAGGCATCTAGGGACAGTGTTATTGAGTGTATTAGTGAGCTAAAATTGTGGAGTGTATTCCACATTCAATGTATAGGCATCTAGGGACAGTGTTATTGAGTGTATTAGTGAGCTAAAATTGTGGAGTGTATTCCACATTCAATGTATAGGCATCTAGGGATAGTTTTGTTGAGTGTATTAGTGAGCTACAATTGTGGAGTATATTCCACATTCAATGTATAGGCATCTAGGGACAGTGTTGTTGAGTGTATTAGTGAGCTACAATTGTGGAGTGTATTCCACATTTAATGTATAGGCATCTAGGGACAGTGTTGTTAAGTGTATTAGTGAGCTACAAGTGTGGAGTGTATTCCATACGCAATATATAGGCATCTGGAGACAGCTTTATTAAGTGTATAGCTACAATTGTGGAGTGTATTCCATATGCAATGTATAGCCATCTAGAGACAGTGCTATCAAGTGTATTGGAGCGCTCCAGAACATATCGCATACATTGATCCACCGCGTGAGTTTCCAACCTTGGTTCTCGTCACGCCCTCCACCCTATCAATAATATGTCTACATCTTCCAACGCATGTGTTTTGTTTGAGCATCATTTTTATATCTTATCTTATCAGGGACCCAGTAAGAAGGACTTGCGAAAGGCCGCACGCGAGGCAGAAAAGGAAGCCAAGAAGCGGGTAGGTGAGATGACCTCTGTAGACACGTCGTCGTCTGTGAACAGACGTCCGTGTATGATATATCATCACTTGTTTGTGTCGATGCTCTGTCGGCCCTTCCATGCGTGTTATGCTGCGTTTGTGTATACTCGTGGCTATTGGTTTGTGTATACTCGTGGCTATTGGTTTGTGTATGTCCGTGGCTATTGGTTTGTGTATACCCATGGCTAGTGCTGCAAGGTTCCGCATGTGATTCACTGCGACTTGCGCATACAGCTTTGAGTGCATGCCGTGGGTATGAGGGTAATTATTTAGGACATGTTGCCCAATTTATATGTTAATTTATGTCTTCGATTCTTGTTTTATATTATCAGTCTTTTTATTGTTTGTGGCGGGTATGTACGTATGCACGAAGGTATGTATGTACGTATGTATGTATTGCATGTATGCATGCTTGTAAGTACGTATGTATGTATTCTCTTGGCTCCGGTTCTAGTTATATAATAGTTGACTTTTCTTTACAGGAAACCATCGCCAAGCACGAGGCCGAGTCTGCGGCGGACCACGCAAACGACTACGCTAAGGACCTCTACGGATACGAAGCCATGAATCAGAGCACAACGCGCGATCGTGTCAAGTTCACAAAGATCGGTGGCCTGAACGAGGCAAGCGCAGGTAAATGATAAATTTGTATACAAATATACATACCTGTACTTATACTTATATATATATATATATGTGTGTATATATGTATGAGTGTGTGTGTGTTTGTGTGTGTATATATATGTATGTATGTCGGTATGTTTTCGTATATGTTTATATACAGCTATGAATATATATCTACATCTATATATATATATATATATGTGAGTGTGTTTTTGAATGTGTTTAATATGATACATATCTCGTTCTTCGTCAATGTACACACATAGTCTCATCCACATCATTATGGTCCAACCCAATCGTACCATGCTGAACTATGAACGATTCAAAATATTCACAACCAACTACACCACTAAACATTTAAAACGGTTAAACACAACTAGTTCAGTTCAAACAGTTTAACGCAACTAGCCCACGGTTAAACCTGATTAGATAAACGAACCCACTGTTGGAACAGTTAAAATATACTAACTTACTGTTAAAATAGTTGAAATATACTAAGTTACTGTTATAACAGTTACAATAAACTAGCTTGCTGTTAAACCAGTTCAAATAAACTAACTCACTGTCTCATTATTCCACAATAAACGAACAGGTGACACCATCACCCTGCGCGCACGAGTCCACAATGTCCGATCCACTGGAAAACAGGCCTTCGTTATCCTTAGACAAAGGTGTGTGCTTGTTTTATAACATACATCTGTTGTCTCCAGTTAAAGGTGTGTGCTTGTTGTGTATGCATCTGTTGTACCCAGTCAAAGGTGTGTGCTTGTTGTGTATGCATCTGTTGTACCCAGTCAAAGGTGTGTGCTTGTTGTGTATGATTTATATCATACATTTGTTGTGTATGATTTATATCATACATTTGTTGTGTATGATTTATATCATACATTTGTTGTGTATGATTTATATCATACATTTGTTGCGTATGGTTTAGATCATACATTTGTTGTGTATGGTTTATATCATACATTTGTTGTGTATGGTTTATAACGTACATTTGTTGTGTATGGTTTATAACGTACATGTGTTGGCCTCAGCCAAAGGTGTGTGCTTGTTGCGTATGGTTCATATCATACATTTGTTGTGTGTGGTTTATAACATACATGTGTTGTCCCCAGTGAAATGTGCGTGCTTGTTGTGTATGGTTATCAAAGTATGTATTGTTCTCAGACAAGAGTGTGTTGTCCATATAAAGGATGTATCCCGCAACTCGAGTATGTTTGGTGTCACTTTTTAATCGCTCTGGCATCTTTGCACTCGCTGTTCAAAATAACCCCGTTTGTCGGTATGCAGAGACACATTTATACGCATATACTTATACTTACATATACATATACAGATGCACATACACACACTCACACCACGATCACTTAAACTGAACTTTGCGTACTCTCCCTCTCCTGTTTAATTGTCCACTGTGCAGATACGATACCATCCAGGCTGTGTGCGCCGTGAGTGACACCGTGAGTAAGCTGATGGTCAAATTCTGTGGCATTCTCACACGCGAGTCTTTGGTCCGCGTCGAAGCAACCGTGGCTTCGGCCCCTACGCCCATCTCCAGTTGCTCTCAGAGCGGATTAGAACTACAGATTAACAAGGTTTGTGCTATGTATGATGTATTTGTAAGTACTGGTAAGTTTGTTATAAGTTATAGTAGAGGTGTGCTAGGGATGCGGTTTAGGCACTCTCCGAGCGGATTAGAAATAAGGGTGGTGCTGCTAATGATATTCTGGTACGTTTGTTATAAATCAGTGTATTCCAGTTACCTCCCTCTATCTCTCTCAAGAAGTTTTGTGCTACGTGCGCATGTATTAAACTGGCCACTCTGTCGCTGCCATGGTGTGGATTGCATCAATCCTGAACATCCTGCACAAATCTGCCCCCCCATTTTCTTTCAACCCACTCCTATCATATTTCCATCACAACTTGTGTGTCGTGTCGCAGTGTGTGACCCAATTACCCTTCCAAATTATCTTTGCGAGCGCCGCCATGGCTGTTTTGTAGTTCCAAATTTCGGGGAATCGGGGCTACCCCAACCGCGCTTCCACGGCCCAGTTTTCGGCCCTAATTAATTCTGAGCAATCTATCTCAAAGTGCAACCCAATTCCTCTATGTACACCCCATCTCTCGTCGTCTCACAACGCCTCTCCCCTTTCTCTATCGCTATACAGCTGTTTGTGGTATCACACTCCGTGCCTCAGCTGCCGTTCCAGATCGACGACGCGAGTGCCTCCAAAGCCGAGCTCGAGAAGGAAGACACCAAGTACACGGCTGTGGGACTAGATAACCGCCTAAACAACCGTGTGATCGATCTCAGGACCCCTGCCAACCAGGCTATCTTCAGATTACAAAGCGGCGTTTGCGCGCTGTTTAGACAGTACCTGGCCGGTGAGTGGTGTAGTTGTCGGATACGCGTGCTTTTTGTAGGGTACCTGTTGGAGGTTGGGACGTATGTTTGCTATTTGTACCTTGTGTAAGGTTTACTGTTTCTCTCTATACGCTTGCGTAGGGTGTGCACTTGTGTACTTCTCGGCATAGTCTTAGACTCTGCTCTCATGCTTGTGCTTTTGCATGGTACTTGTGTGTTATATGTACATATGTTCTATTTGTAATTGTGTGTTTTTAGTACATATATTATTTTTGTACTTGTGTGTGGTTTGCTGTTTCTCTCCACACGCTTGATACGCTTGCGTAGGGTGTGCACTTGTGTACTTCTCGGCATAGTCTTATACTCTGCTCGCATGCTTGTGCTTTTGCATGGTACTTGTGTGTTATTAGTACATATGTTCTATTTGTAATCGTGTGTTTTTAGTACATATATTCTCCCCTAAACCCTAAATACGCATGCTATTTGTAGGGTACCTGTTAGAGGTTGGAACGTATGTTTTCTATTTGTACCTTGTGTAAGGTTTACTGTTTCTCTCTATACGCTTGCGTATGGTGTGCACTTGTGTACTTGTTTTAGGTGTGTTTTTAGTGCATATGTTATATTTGTACTTAGTATGGTTTACTGTTTTTCTCTATACGCTTGCGTATGGTGTGCACTTGTGTACTTCTTGGCATAGTCTTATACACTGCTCTCATGCTTGTGCTTTTATATGGTACTTGTGTGTTATTAGTACATATATTCTATTTGTACTTGTGTATGGTACTGTTTTTATGCTTGTACTTGCGTATGGCATCCTGCTGTGTTAAGACGTAGACTTTGACTGGGCAAAAGCAAGTGTGCGGATGTGTCTAAGGGGTTTGGATTATGCCTACACAGGGATATGAACTTCGTATATATATACATGCATATGGTTATTGTACGATATGTACCCAGAAAAGAATACTCTACCATCTCTATACACAGATAAGAACGTCCTATGTAGACATGCAGATGGGTTATTGCACAAAACATACCCAGGATCTAATACTCTAATATTTCTACACATAGCAACGAACTTACTATATGTACATACACATGGCTATCATACAATACATGCACATGTCGTGTTGCACAAATCACAGCCAGAACCCCTCGCCTCGCCTCCTATCCCTACATGTACACAGGTATGAACTTCATATATGTACGTGCACACGCAGTATCGTACAAAACACACCCAGAATCCCTGTTCTCACCCCCTATCTCTACCTACACATACCGTACAAAAAACACCCAGAACCCCTCACCTTCTATCTCTACCTACACACAGGTATGAACTTTGTGGAGATCCACTCCCCCAAGTTGTTGGGTGCAGCATCCGAGGGCGGCGCTAACGTATTCAAGGCATCCTACTTTGACCGTAGCGCTTATCTGGCTCAGTCGCCGCAGCTATTCAAGCAGATGGCGCTGTGTTCCGATATGGAGCGGGTGTTTGAGATTGGACCCGTTTTCCGGTGAGTTTGATATGATCTAATAGGATGATATGATATGAGGTGTGCGTTTACATACGAGTACCAGCCTGTACGCTGCAAAGGCTTGTCATCTTGCGTTGGATTTGGATGTATCTCAATATGCATGTTGTACGCAATAGTATTACTGTGTGTACCACTCTCGTGTCAACTTATTCGGACTGACGTTTGTCCAAGTTATAACTCAATATCCGTTTCTTATTTGTTTTTGTTTTTTTTGGGGGGGGGGTTGGAACCCAGTGCGGAGGATTCCAACACCCACAGACATTTGACCGAGTTCACTGGGCTGGATATGGAGATGGAGATCAACGAGCACTACCACGAGGTATGGTTGTATTGGCAATGGTATGCCTGAACATTGACATTCAAAACGCTTAATTTAGAAGGCACTCGTATGCACCAACATATATGTATGTGTACATGTCTATGTAGGTATAGTTTGTAAAAGCCTATGCAGGTATAGCATTTTTATGCCTATGCAGGTATAGTATGTACAGGCCTATATAGGTATAGTATGCACATAGCTATGTAGGTATATATGTAAATGGGATGCGTGTTCTCAAGTCCAGTGTTAGGTATGTGTAGCATTGCACAGTTCTGCTTTATTCGATATTAGGAGATCGTGCAGGTCTCGGGGGCTCTGCGCACTCGGTGCAAACAGCGCATGTGTCGTAATGTTGTATTGTGGTAATGTGGCTGAACGTGTACACGCGAATGTAAATCTGTACTCACATTGTCAGCTGCAAACAGCGCATGTGTCGTATTGTTGTATTGTGGTATTGTGGCTGAACGTGTACACGCGAATGTAATTCTGTACTCACATTGTCAGCTTGCAAACAACTCATGTGTCGTATTGTTGTATTGTCGTATTGCGGCTGAACGCGTACACGCGAATGTAGTTCTGTACTCACATTGTCAGCTTTGAATAGCACATTGTCGGATTGTCAATATTTTTACACTATGAATCGTGAGTGGAGCTGGAAGACAGCCCTTTCAAGTAGCATGTACACATCCGTACGCTCACGAGCTATTCTCTTCATATGTTTGTACTACTTGTCTATTAGTTATATATTTATGCTACTTATCAATCCTATCTCAGACGTATCCATTCAAAGACTTACACCCAGCATGGTTGTTCGACATACATACGCGAATGTGTGTTGATATCATCAGTTCCATGTGACATACTAACTACCTGGCCTACCTACAACCAAAAACAAAACAGGTGTTGGATATGCTAGACGGACTCTTCGTCCATATCTTCAAGGGCCTGCGTGACCAGTACAAGCACGAGCTGAAGATTGTGTCTCAGCAGTACCCCTTCGAGGACTTCAAGTTCATGGAGCCATCCCTGCGTATCAACTATGTGGAGGGTGTGAAGCTTCTGAGGTAAGTGATCCTTCATATGTATATATATATATATATATATATATTAATATTATATATATATATATATATATGCATGTATTTTGAGACGGTTGATATATATGAATATATATATATGTATGTGTTTATATATACATACAATATAGTACTTAGATAGCCAACAATACTAAAACGACACCCCTATTCACTTCCTAAAGAGAAAACGGTGTAGAAATGGGTGAGGAGGAAGATCTCACAACTGAAAACGAGAAGTTCCTGGGACGGTTAATCAAGGAGAAGTATGACACTGACTTCTACATGCTCGACAAGTTCCCGTTGGCTGTGCGACCGTTCTACACCATGCCTGATGCTCAGGATAAGGTATATATATATGTGTGTGTGGTAGCGTACAAATATTTGCATCTGTATCTGTGTTATCGTTCACATCCATGATACATGCGCATTGGTATGTTTGCGAAGGTGTGTAGAAGTATATTATCTCCACAGTTCCTGTGTGTTCTAAGTTGTGTATGTATGCCCATATATACTCGTGTGCATGTAGCACGATAAGTGAGTGTGCTACCATATTCGCCTCGGGCTATTACGTCTAGGTATCCTCACGGACGATTGCCGTGCCGTGTACTGTCCCTATTACTGTGTGCATACATGCTGTCTCTGTGGATGTGTTACGGCGGTGCATTTTTGGTCAGCTACTACTGTTCCCATATCTATTTCTCTCTGTATCATCCCCCTGACCTAAAGTGTAGGCCACAGCTTCAACTGGATATCCCACCCATTCCTCACCCAACCCCCTTAGTCCTTATCTCTACCCATCAGTCTTTTGGAGTGCCTTGTATCACATGTTTTGACCTTGTCTTTGTACACACTTATCCATTGTACACAACCAACCCCCTTAATCCTTATCTCTACCCATCAGTCTTTGTGGAGTGCCTCGTATCACATGTTTTGACCTTGTCTTTGTACACACTTATCCATTGTACACAACCGCCCTCGCTTCCGATTCGGACGCAGGCCTACAAAGTACGGCCCCGAGACAGAATATTCAACTAATCCAACACCCTACCACCTGAACCCTTATCCCTACCCCCGGAATCCTTATCTCTACCCCTCAGAAATGGAGTAACTCGTACGACATGTTCATGCGTGGCGAGGAGATCCTTTCCGGAGCCCAGCGTATTCACGACCCCGCATTCCTCACTGAACGTGCCTCTGAACACGGCATTGAGCTGTCCACCATCCAGCCCTACATTGACTCGTTCAAGTATGGTGCTCCCCCACACGGTGGAGGTGGTATCGGTATGTCTACCCAGAGCCACGTGGCGCCGTGTGTGGGTGGTTGAGTATCCGTCACTAGCTTCATGCGTGTATTACTGTATATATATATATATATATATATGTGTGTGTGTGTGTACGCCTGTATGTAGGTATGTGTTTGTGTGTATGTATGTATGTACAACTGTATGTATGTGTGTCCGTGTATATGTATATATATATATAAATATATATACTTGTATATCTATGTATATCTGCAATCCTGTTTCCTGATTAAATGCTCTACCACATACGGCATTGAGCTGGTTATTTCAGTATCTTCATTGATTCTTTCGTACGGGAGACCACCACGCCATAAATTTGGAGTCGGTACTAATTGTTCGAGAAGCGCTATCTTAAATACCTTCCATTAGAAAGTGCCCCTATCCTCGTAGCTGATTCGTGTGTGTGTATCTCAATTGGTATGTGTCTCATATCACGTGGTTATTCAGCTGGTGTGTCTAGTCTATAAGCACAACGGTACAGTATTCTGGAATACAACATCCATGTCCAGATGCCAGATGTCCTTTTTAAGAATTTTGAGACTGTGCCTTGTGTACACATGCGCACTCACACTCACACATACATCCGCATACACAATCATACATACATACATACTTACATCCTCGCCTATGCTCACACTTACAAAGTACTAATTCACAATAACATTCCACCCGGTCACAGGTATGGAACGTGTGCTGATGCTGTACTTGGCGTTGGGTAACATCCGCCGCACTTCTCTCTTCCCACGTGATCCGAAACGTTTGAGTCCTTAAATGCAATGGCTTTTGTTGCAGTCATAGTGTAGTGCGCCGCATTCTGTGGTTGTGAGTATGACAAGCTGTTAGTGGGCAACCGAATTGGATCTGGGAGGGAAGATGACACAGCTGTGGAATGAGGAAGGTAACTGAAAAAGAGGTTGCGTATCGCTCACAGCCATGATATGGCTCTGGCAACTCTTCAGCGTGTGTCTACAGTATTCGCTCTGGAGCTCAAGCTGCTGGGAGTTAGTTTGATGACCAGGTTAGCACAGGTCATTTGATTGAGCATATGGAGTGAATGAAGACACTGAAGCATACAGGGTTTCATCACTGATATGGTACGGAGCAAGGTCACCTGGAACTCGCAATTGTGAAAAGGTTGTAAACGAATTAAATGAGTATTCTGCGCCACATTCGCTTGTCATTTTTTTAACTGTCGGGCTTAAAATTGAAGAAGAAAAACGCTGGCTGCGTACATACATATCATAGTGCAAATATATTGTTTTGTTCAAATGTAAAATGGACGACACACATAGTCCTGGGACCTGGCGAAAAGAGAAGCGCGTCGTGCATGGGTTGGGTTGCTGACAGGTCAATGTGGACACGCTCAGATAAGAAGCTACTGCTAGAGTCCTCTCTCTAGTAGTAGACCGCTGCATATATAAGATCAGTGGCTAGCTAGGCGAGTGAGTCACTCACTCACTCCACAGACCAAATACAGCACACTGTTGCTAGAGAGAGTCTTCGACATAAAAGGTGTGTATGTCTATCCACTGTCCAGTCGATACATAGATACATATATTATTCATATGTTTTTTTCATAAGCCTCTTATTTAGAGAAAAATGTGTTGCACACATTAGTCTAACAGTCTGACAGACGACAGTCCCAGCAGACCCGGAACCTTGTGCCGGACTTGTGACGCCAAGCAGCTCGGTCCAAAAAATATCTAATATATATATTACATATTTGTTGTTGTTTTTTAAACCCCCAGCGCCACCCATTCCAGCATTCTTAGTTTCAAGTTTCGAGTCTCCTACACCCCCAGAAATTTAAAGAATCATGTCTAATATTAGAACCAATCAATATTAGTTTACTGTGTGACGTTTTATTGTGATTCAGGAGTAGATGTAAGCCATAATTTTATTCCTTAGATATCATAGGTGAAGTACTGAAGAGAAGAGTGACGAGTAAAGAGTGAGACTGAAGACTGAACTCTGAACAAATACTGAAGACCTCTGAACTTCTGAAGTCTGAACACTCGACAGTGGTCAACACTGTGTCTGTAATCAGTGATCACTTGTCACTTTATAGTCGCTTTATTATGACTTCTTGAGTGAGTAAGTGCACAGCTCTGATGTTTCATTTAGAAGGCTATGGTTCTGTTCTGACTACTACACACTTTTAAATACAGAAACTTTATGAGTGTTCCCACGAGTCTCACTGCTCACAAGTCACACATATGAGTCCTCTGCTCTGACTTCCGAGTTCTCCGTTCTGTTCTCAGTGTTCTGAGTTCTCATAGTATTTTGCAGACTTTAACTGGAAAGCTCATATGTATGTATTCTGCTGGGATCCGAATAGGATCCGGATGGGATCTAGATTCCAAGGTCTATCAAAATTAAATATATAAAGAGTATCATTTTGAATTTACATGTCAGCATAAAACACTCATACATAGTAGAACTGATATTCAACCTTCCCAATCAAAATGCAAATCCCGGCCAAAACCTTGATTGGTTATGCAATCTTTGTTTCAGGTGCCACTGCTATGAGCATACGACAAACCGGTGGTGCCATGAACATCGTGAACGCGTATGGTGTAGCCATGCAACAGTCTGCCGATAGTGTGTTGGGCTGGTGGACATCAGAGCAGCCAGCCGCGGTAGTTATTCAGTGGCCCACCTCCGGAAACCCCACGGCGCTCAAATTTGCAAACGGAAAGTGTTTGTATGTGGACAATGTAGTACCGTACCAAACAGACTGTACTTGTAACAACGATGAGTGGTGGCACTACGAGAACGAACAATGATGTGGGGTGCCGCGGCTTTTCATGTCGACGCTGTCGGTGATCTCACAGTTGAACAATCTGAGAACAGCGCGAAAGTCCACTATGTTGCGGCCGCCCTATCCAACGCACACGAGATTTCGTGTGAGCAGAAATTCGTTGGTAGATCAGCTTTTATATGGGACACATTCCAGACTTCCAAATTGTGCTGCGACTATTCCCATAAATGCAGCGATTTACCCAAGTGCACGTCTAGCTTCTGCTGTAGAGCTGACAGTTCCGCTAAGTATTTAGTAGATTCGGTAGCGGTAGAGGCGCAAACTTCTGCACCAGCCGTCATAGCAAATTCTCATGAGATATTCTGTGAGAAGAAGTATGAGGGTAGATCGGACCACCGATTTGTTGCGACTATTCTCACAACTGTGGTAATTTGCCTAAATGCACATAATTTCTGCTGCAAGTCAGACGATGCGGCTGGATAATTGACTGAATCCGTAAACACACTTCAGAGTTCTCCATCGCCATCATCAGTACCATCCCCTTCAGCCTCCCTGTCTGCAGCAAACTATTGCGAGGCGGATGCTGCACAACTCGGAGAGGACACATGGACACGTGCACGAAGTCAGGTTGACGATTCTTGCCACGATCTTGACCAGGCATTTAGTGAAACCATGTCACATGCCCCACTGAAAGAAAGCGCCAATGTAGCTTTCTGTGATGCAGTGCAGCACATGTACGATGCTGGCATGGATAGTTGTGTCAGTGAGTGAGTGGGTTATGGCAAGGCTCTAGGCTCGCAAATCGGCCAACATTTGTGTCGGGTATTGGACTTGTTTGCGGAGGATGAATCGGATGACGAGGGAGTTACTCTTTTTATTTGTAACAAAAAGGAAAAGAAGGCGTGTCATGAGGCATATGCCAATCATATTACCACCACTGCCTTAGATAATGGAGAGATGTGCGTTGATGGGGTATCGTCTGAGAGAACTCAGGAATTCCACGACCAACTGGAGACCAGGTGCGAGATAACAATCGGCCCAGACCAGTAATAGACCTCAGTTTTAACATCCATATTTAAAAACTAATTTAGAAATGTAAAAGCAATAAATTCATAGATATCAAACAACGATCTCATGTCTATGATTTAAAGGAGATTCCGCATATTCAAAAACGACATGCAGTTGTTGTCAAAGGCGGTCGCAACGTTTTTCCGACACTCGCAGCTGTATATGTGTAAATATCTCAAAATAAGCATTGTCTATTATGTTTTGGATAAGCACATTCCCCTTATACCTTACTCTCCATCTGTATTACCCTATTTATAGTGTATATGGTGCATGTGAACAATGAGAAAATCCCAGTTTGCCAAATACACACCAAAGCGTAGAAATTTATATCATACTACTCAAGAAGACTGGATAAGTTCGATTTGCTACATAGCCATCTTTATTGCGATCGCATAGTCTAGATGCCGATAGAGTTTGAGTCAGTGAATCAGTACATACAGGGCAGCGTGGGCGGAAAACGATCAAAATTTGATCCGTCACTCCAAACGTGTGCAAGAATAGAAATGAACAATTTTTATTTCATAGCTGATGTCGTATTGTCTTCGATTTTATTGTCTTGTATATTGACTTTGACTTTTCTGATTGCAATACAGCTACGCGGAGAGTTGCTCGTGCAATGGATTAAGAACTAATTTTGCCACCTCAGATGGCAGGTTTGCGCATACAGTGTCTCTTTTCATTGTGCTTGTAAACCTTTTCAATGCGTGCCTAGCAAGCATCATAAGTGAAACTTCTGGGAAGGTCGTTTCCATACGTTCGAACAGATCGATCACAGCTTCATGTTTATGAATTGCTGCCATTCTCTGTGCAGTTCGCCCATTGTTATCAAGAATTTTGGTATCTGCTCCGGCATCCAGTAGTAATTGCACACTCTCTAGACTATCTGGTTTCGCTGCAGCATGATGTAAAGCAGTGCGTCCTGACTCGTCTTTATCGTTAACAGCCACTTTATCGCCTTCCAACAGGAAGCTGAGTAATTCCAAATGGCCTCCACGCGCAGCCTGGATAAGCACAGTCTCATCACAGTACCTTGTATTGTAGTCCAGTTTCTCACCTTTGCTCGCCGCCCCCTCATGTAAGGCCTTCATCATTTCACACGAACCGATGTTTGCTGCTGCGTGCACGATGCTTCGGCCGCTTTTACCAACATTTACCGACGGAATGAATGGTAGGATGACGCTAGCGGCCTGCACATTGCCTTCCTCTACTGCTTTATACAGCAATGTAGATTGTGCCAACGACAACCTCATTTTGCTCTTTGCCATTTCAGGAATGGCGCCAGCCCTCAACAGTGCTCGCATCATATCTATACGTCCTGCAGTGTATGCCATGTATATGCACGTCTTCTCTTGCCATACACAATTGGGATCTGCGCCTTGTATTATAAGTTCCTCAACGACTGCTAGGCTATCTTTCTGCACAGCCAGACATAAAAGTGGCTGGGATTTCCCATTTGCTTCGATAGATATCTTGCGTTCCTGTATCAGGTGTCTAATTTTGCTGATATGTTCATCCTCTACCGCCCGATTCAATTCTATATCGTCGATCGAGGGTAGATTCTGTTCTACCTTGCGGATTGGCGTGTATTTTACATCCATGAAGAATCTTCTAGTTTCTTTAACATCTTGTTCGTGATCTGCGTACCTGCTATTGTGTTCTAATGTTGACCGACTGGGCTTTGACCCACTCGTACCTTGTTGCCTCGATTTCACACACTGGCGCATAGGGGCTCTGTATTGTTTGTCATCATTTATGGGTTGTTTCTGAAGAGACAGCCTATCGAGCATATCACTACACGAGCCACTGCTGATTGTATTTATGTTTACGCCTTTTGTCTTGTTGTTGTCCGCGCCACCGGCAGAGAAGCGGTAGAGCACTCGATGCAATTCTGTATCGACACTGGGCACCATTCCCAAGAATACGTCATCACTGCAGAGTCCATCGTCATTTACACGCCCCTCTATGGGACGAATAGTTACTGACTTGTACATCGACACCGTCGATGACGTGATATCATTTTGAATATCATTCTTTTGTGCTTGCTCTGTTTCATCATCGATTTCTGCGGCACCAAATAGCGCAGATACAAATCGTAAGGTAGATGCAAAACGCGAAGTGGTTTGCTGTGATTCCCGGAGCGTAGATTGATCTGCGTCTATCTTTGATGAAAATAGGGAATCTGAAGAAGCATTTGGTGTAAATTCGTGCTGTGCCGTGTATGTTTGTTCGCCATGATTTAGCGTACTTGTGTTTTCATAACCCGTTATCATCGAATGCTGGCAATCCTTATTTCCATTGAACGCATTTGCCTTTAGGGCGAATAACCCCTTGGCCATTGGTGTGACTACCATATTGTATGATAGACTGATTCTCTCCTGTCTTCTGAAAGTTTTTGAGGTTGACGATGTAGTGAGGATTAGAATCTAACATAGGTCAATATTTATATGGATGCAAAATCAGAAACGATGACTGACCGTGATCCTATCCTATCTTCCGTATCATGGATATTAGCCTTCGCTTCAGCTTTCAATATGTCCGCTGTACGAATTCGTTAGGAATGTTTACAAATCATATGGTGACAGCTCCGTGTCACTGTGTTGATCTTATAAAAGTTTAATTTATTTACTAAAATTTTACCGTCACCATGAGCTATGAAGTGTCAAAAAAATTAAATAAACCGGTCACAAAATATGATTGGTGCTATAAAGGTAGGCAATACTATATTTATTGGTTCTAAAAATACAATCGTGAACTCAAGGATGAAAATATCGACAAGCTTATCGCGCTTGATCAGAAGTTTTACTCATTGCCATGGAACTGTCACACTAAAATCGGTCACTAGGTATGTAAAGTATTTTTAAGCCATTTTAGTTGCGGGTGTAAAACGGGAGCCCGGCACATAAAGTACTTATCTATCGCTTTCTTTTTGCGCGTGTGTAAAAACTGAATAGCAAATATGGTCTGTCGATGACTTCAATTCTGACAATTCACCATCACTTTACACAGGGGTAGGAAAAACCCATGCAATCTTCCAATTTTTTAAAGCATGATGATGTAGAAATGATTAAAAATCCATAAAGTAGTAACCACATTTGTAAATATGTATAGTCGTGTCCAGCATGTATGCACGCAGACGTTGGAATATCACCTCGTGAAGTAAAACGCCACTAGTTAATACACCTCTCATGATGAAAGTGACTGTTTCAATTCCAGAGAAGTAACTAGTTTGGTATGACAAACAGTACCTAGTTCGAAAGCGTCTATACTAGTTCGGTGTAAAATGAATGCCCGTCATACAGTTTTCTCATAAAAAGAAAAAAGTGTGGCCCGTTCAAAATATCTACTAACTGCCATTAATGTTTGTACCTTTTGTATGCGTGCATAGCGGGCTCGATTCTTGACTCATAATATCGGCACTAATGTGAACATACCGCGATATGCGAGCCATTATCAGGGATATTGCCATAATTCTATTCTCAATGTGCTATAGTTCTTCCCCTACATAGAACTACTTGCCATTTAGTTTGTACAATCGCAGGTACTGCTCTGTCGAATGGCTCGCGTATGATGCCCTTCCGAGGCCTCACTCATGCAATAACATATGTTTTTAAGCGCATTCACTTCACACATAGTATGGACTTAAACTTAAAAGTGTCTCATCACAGTATGAAATTTGACTCGCATATACTTTGATTCGGTTTAGTACTATGTGATTAAATCCCATATCATCCGTATCCGCACACGTGCCCGCATACGTTTTGAACACACTATGTGGTAGAAAATGTTGAGGGTATTAGTGTCTATCCTCTCTGACTTGTTGTGATGATACCAGAGAAATATATGAAATATATTTACAATTCCCTACACAAAACCGTAAGGCATACTTCCTGGCTCACATGTTTTGAGGTAACAATACGACGTTATCCGTGTTCATGGTTTCGCTTTGTTCAACGAACGACATTACTCCCTCAGCAACATCCTCAGGCGTTAGCATCTTCGCCTGCAAATTTATTGATGGAAATTCATCGATGTGCCGTGAGTAAATCGATCATATCAGAAGTAATTAGAATATGAATAAACGAAAATGAAATTTATGATCAAATATTAGCAATAACAGATAATTTATATCAGTCAATTCATGCTTGCCCACAATTTATCAGCGCGCTGCTGTCATCGAAACACGATGTCAGCGAACAAAATAAAAGTGTAGGCATGTTGCGTCCAATTTATCAATCGCCCGATACTATGAGTCTGTGAAACACATGGGATATGCTTCTGCACTGTATTGCATATACACGATATATACATATACATACATATATATATATATATATGTATATATATACATATATATATATATATATATATATATATGTATATATATATAGATATATATATATATAGATATAGATAAAGATACACACACAAACACATACATATAAATATATATACACATACATATATGTTTTAATATATAATAAATAGGAAACTACACACACACACACACATACACACACACACACACACACACATATATATATATGTATATATTTATTTATGTATATATGTATATATATAAAATAATAACTGCATTCATGTTGCATTTGTGTACTTTTTCGTAGGGAAAGGAATATCGAATCAATTTATATACATATTTTGAATTTGATATTCTTCCCTGCCGAACGTAGAAGTGCTTAGAAACATAGGCAGAAAGAAATTACTCGAGTTGTTTTGCGCTCCATATACCGTTGTAGGTGAATAAATAGACACACCATGCCGGGGCTGATAGTTCCAGCCTTGATCTGAGTGCCCTTCAGTTCCATTCTTAGGCTGGAGAATATAGCCTGTTATGTATCAGTAAAAGTGAGTGGTGTATAGAATAGTAAGATAATGCAGATATCTCCACGGAGGAAGTATCGGGCCCAACAATCGAATGTGGCTATACGGTTAGAAGGTACGGAATATTTGAGCTACGAAGCACACGATTCGTCTGGCAAATGAATCGATGAGGTCAATCGGATGATCTATGGGTGTATACGTATGTGTATTTACACATTCCTAAAGGTATGATATGAACCCGATTGGTGCCCATTGCATGTGTAATACACCAGAGATCATACTTGACATACTACTTTTAGTTTGTGATAATGATATCTGATTTAAAAAAAAATCACCTACTCAAGCGACAACGGATATGGCTTCACTAATAGTCATTCAACAACGGGCACCAATGAGACCTAAATGCTACATACTCAATACGCTGTAGATCTGTATACCTACAACTATACATCAAATACCCAACACACGAGGGATCTTATGCATGTCTGCATTTGTATGCGCACCTAGCCATCAGTACCACCTATAGAATCGCATACGTACATTTATATACAATATCTCCAACATACAAGGAAGTATATGCATGTTTGTATTTGAATAGTCACCCAGATATCAGTACTCACTTGAACCGCAGCCTTTGTAGACGAGTACACCGATGCAGTGGGCTTGGCCATGCCCGGCATTCCGACTATACTGGACACAGCAACTATACGCCCGGAATTCCTCTCCCGCATATCAGGAACAACCTAGATTAGCCATGGGGATTGGTGGGAATTTAATTTATATATATACGCAGTTTTACTGGATACCGCAAATATGGGCCCGGAATTCCTCTCCCGCATATTAGGAACCACCTAGATTAGCCATGGGGATTGGTAGGGATATGATCTATTTATATACGCAGTTCTACTGGATATCGTAATTATGCGCCCGGAATTCCTCTCCCGCATATCAGGAACCATCTAGATTAGCCATGGGGATTGGTGGGGATGTAATCTATTTGCATACGCAGGTTTTCGAAATACACTGTGTATGGCAAAAGTAATCTTGATGTATCATAACTGTGCCTGCCACGAGTGTTTACTTAAGTATCTATATCGCGCGAAACAATGGAAATAAGTAGGATAATCACCTTGCATGCTACATTCAACCTTGAGTAACCAGAAAACCCTTCCTCGATAGTATCTCAATATTCTAACTAGAATTTGTATTCAAAAGCCAAATCTATGTTATTGCAATCGAATCCGTTATCTATATATTATGTCACCAACGAATCTTAGTATACTAGGGCGTGCCAAACCCAATTCCACTCCTGCTGATTCTTTTTGATGCACATGTATATCTTTCGCATCTTCCGTCAGACTAAAGTGGTCCATTTCAGCTCAACCTCGGCTCAACCGCACCGATAAATAGCCAACCGATATCCAGCCGTAATCAACCAGTATATTCACAGTTACATTAAACAAGTACGTTTACAGCTATGTACGACAAGTACATTTACAGCGATAATCAACTAATACGTTTACATCTATATACAACAAGTGCAGTTAAGCTATAATCGACCAATACGTTTACGACTGTAAACAACAATACATGCACAGCTGTATACAACAAGTACGTTTATAACTATAAACAACCGATACGTTTACAGCTATATACAACAAGTACATTTACAGTTACGAACAACCCAGACTATTCATAGGAGTCCTCAGCTGGTCTATTTATAGAACTAGACTATCAGTCAATGTTACCGCACCCACCTTGTTCAACCACAGGAACACTCCGCGCACATTCGCTCTGTAGGTGTCGTCAAAGTCCTTCATGGGTACCTATAGATGGCATGACAAGTACAAGTAATAGCGAAGGGAATGCCACAAATTGGTGATGTGAATGCCACAGAAAAGTGAAGTAATCGCCACAGATAAGTGAAGAGAATGCCACAGATTAGTGAAGTAATGTGAAGTGATTGCCACAGATGTGAACCAAAAAGCCTGCCTAGTACCAATACAATTTAGTTCGGCGTGCGTACCGGGTTTTGGTAGTGAATGTAAGTGGGATCCAATATTCAAATAAATATTTCTGCAGGGTGCTGGGATAGTCAAATCGCACCTTCAGGGCATAGACCCGATCCTGAAACAACCTTTTATCAAATTTGACCCTAAACTTTTAATGGCAACAACACAACTGCTAATCTGAAAGCAACAATACTCGTATCAATCTTACAGACTCTCCTACATGTAAGACCCTTCCGATCTTACATGGAACCAAGACTCTGTTATGAAGACAACATATACTCAAACCACACTATAGAATACGTCAAATTTGATATTCGATAACAAACTTACCTCTCCAATATTTCCGAAACGCCCAATGCCCGCACTTAGCACAAGAACATCAGGCGTAGCTTCCAGAAAAGTCTTGGCCTTCAATAAAAGAGTTAAAAGATAGTTTAAAATGTTTTGAAGTTAAGTGCGTAATTGAAAAGATTGAGTCGGACTGGTGATAGCACCTGATACACTTAATGGCGACTTAGATTCATGTGTTGAAAATATGTGAGAAAATACACTGAGTATACGGTGACCCTTGCGAATGTGTGGATATAGAAATACATATATATATATATTTATTTATATATACATACATATATATATATATACAGACACAGACACAGACACAGACACAGATACACATATATATGTATATATATATACACACACACACACACACACACACACACACACACACACACACATATATATATATGTAGTGATTCCAGGTGATATACATAAAAGAAACGCTCGCGTATCAGCGTAAAATTCTCCGCGAATAGTGAATAGTGTTCTTTGATTGAAACTTGTATACATTCTGAATCGATCTTCCTGACACACGTCTGATTATGCCTACATATGTATATTAGTGTCAATGTGCGCAACGGATGCGCTTACAAATGTTTGACATTTCGAACAGGACTCTCAGTAGTGAACGCGTGCCTAGGTTCGCGTCAGAAATCATATGAAGTGTAGGGCAGTATGCAATAAACACACACACAACTAAAGAATCGATATCAAAGCTACCTCAGTGTACAGTCTGGTTGTGTCTGTCTCATCGCCCACATCGCCGACGCCATACCCAGCTTTGCCGCCAGACGTCTCGCATTTGGTTACTAGATCTCTCATGGCACTCTCATTTCGACCCAAAATAAAGACCTGAATTGTGATGGAGGGATACATACATATTTACATTAATACATACAATACAGACATACATACATACAATACAGACATACATACATACCATACAGACATACATACATACCATACAGACACACATACACACAGACACACCAGCCGTATCAAAGACCTGCGTTAGACGCGCGCAATACGTTTATACACGCACGTGCGTTTGTGTATATGTATGCTATCCAGACCTCTCATGCATCTCTCATTTCGACCCAAAACAAGTATGTGAATACGAACAGAGATTACATCCGCAGCAAAAACTTATGAAACGTAAACATATCCGTTTCTAAGGCTTACATACAGCTCGTAAAGTACACATATGCTATATGTGCTCGTGGTGTATATATGTATGCATATACGTACCACGACTATAGGTTTTCCCTGCTCTCTTGCTTCATCTCTTAAAGTTAGAAATATAATCTCGCACAAGGAATAGACTAATCTAATCTAGGACTCAATTTACAAATCAAGGGCCCAATTTGTTAATAGATATGCTTGCAGGTGTCAACCATAGAGTAGGCTCGAGTGCGGGTGCGTATGAGCCGAAGTACATGTGATGTATACTCCTGATTTCGTTAGAAAAGTTGAATTGTTTCCGCGCGGGCGTGTGTGTGTATGCATGTGTGTGTGTAGATATGTTGTATATATATATATATATATATATATATATGTGTGTGTACATGTGTGCATGTGTGTGTATCTAATGGTGCTGAAATGATGTATGTGTATGTATGTACGCGTCTGTAGAGTCGCATTATCGTTGTAGAATATGCACAAAACGTATTGTGCCACTATGTTAGAGTACATATGTAGCTGCGTGCGTGTAGTGAGAGGTGAGAAATAGGTCAAGTAAATGCGCACTTCAAAAGAACTGTACGCACATACGATATAAATTAGTTAAGGTAAATGAATTGTTTTCGTGTGTGTGTTTGTGTGTGTGTCTGTAGTGCATGGTGTTACATAGATTCAAAACTCATTCCACTGTTTGTCGATATAAGTGCTTACATAGGTATGTGTATGTTTTGTATGTCTGCGTACAAGACATGTCCAAGTGAACTTGTGAGTCCAATATGAGCACACGCACATGAACTGGTGTTGAGAAACAGGGTCGCTCCGTAGTGTAATACACTAAAGTAATGAATCTACGCATGCACTACAACTGAAGCGTGCAGACCGCACATCATGAATTGCACTCGTGAACAATCCGCCTACCCGGAAGTTGCGCTTAGCCAACTCTACACACACAGCAGCGCCAATTCCTGAGCTACCACCGGTCACTATAGCACCCTTCATCGTATCTAAGCTTTCTACTGCAACCGTTGCTTGTGTGTACTATATATGTGTGATACTAGTTATATGTCCACTTTTCACTTGTCACTTGTCCACATCGATAGTTGGCCAGTTGTCCTCTTTCGACAGTGGTCCGTGGGGGTGTTCAGTGAGTAGATTATGCTAATCGATGGACGTGTCAATTGGCTACAGATCAATACACAAATAATAGTCCAATAAAAGCCCAATGGTATCTAAAGTTCTATTAATAGCTGCTGAGGTAAGTGTACTATACGTTTAACATTCATTCTACCTGTCTCAAATAGGTGTATGTGACCCGTAGTTTTGAGTACGGTTTTTTAAAAAGTATAAAATGTATATTGATAATTTGTACTATATGTATTTACATATTTAGTGTCAACTTGATTCACGTGTTTCCGGTACATAAATACATTCAAAAATAACGTGGGCCAATCATATGAACGTTGAGATTGTCTACGCGGTGTATGTCCACCTGTAGTTCCAGAAACGGATTGTGGACAAGTCACAAAGGTATGCTATCGATGTACACACTGTACTGTATTTATTTATGTTTCCAGAACAGGAAACCAGTCTGTACATGGTTCTGAACAAAGTTATTGTAATTGGCTATCATTTTTTTTCGCGCAAAATAGTTAATCGGACTACAAGCTTAATGGTTAGTGGAATACGTATTTATCCTTGCTAGTAGATGCCTACCTATAAATTCACACGTTTTACGGATATACCATGATGAAGGTGAACGGTAAACGTACTTAAAAAAATATACACATTATTATGTATATATACGTAATGAATTTATAAGTTGACGTATATATTTATTTATACTGCGTACTTCACCATAGCTGTGATGATTAGGTCTGTGTGTACTGTATACCAGACCTGTCATATCCATATCCAATACATATACTTGAACTCCATACAATGACAACATTCGAGATAGCTGGGGTGAGCATACCCACCGAATTACTTGTAAGGATCTTCAGTGAGCTTGATCGAGACACTCTGCGTGCGTGCAAGCTAGTGTGCAAATACTTTAATATCGTCGCAAATGACCCCTTCTTGTACACTCGCCTGCCGTTAGCGCTGACGGCGTCTGAGGTACTGTGCGACCGTACGAGATCGGACTATGTGATGTCACGGTTGTCAAGATACCCATATTTGGAAGAGTTTTATCTACCTTCGGGATTAGACAGTGGAGAGGGGTTGGAAGCGCTGTTGAGACTTGCACCCAAGCTGTCGCGGGTGAATTTGAGGTATATAGACGCTGACCGGTGGAAAGGCAAGGAAATAAAACATTTCCTGGAATCCTTGGTGGAAGTGTTACCGATACGAAAGATCTCTGTGCCTGTGAGCATGGATGCATATACCTTCCTCCATGTGATTGATGTGTTCCATACTGAGAGTTTCATACCCTCGACGATACAATCCGAGTCCCTACGTGAGCTATACGCAGCCGACACCCCCAGCACGGCCCAATTACTGCAAGGGTGTCCCAACATACAAAAGTTAATCCTTGCTTATGCACGCTTAGAGGAGCCATTGTATAGTGATTCCCTACGTACACTAGAAGTATCCGAGGTGCACGTGAAGGATGCGATACTCAACTGTTCGGTACTTACATCGCTTTCAGTGGACTTTGTAGATAACTGGGGTAACCTAGCAACCAAGAACTTGAAATCATTAACACTCCACGATGACGGCGACTACGATCCACCCATAGACCTCGAGGACCTACCCAAGCTCCAACATCTATCAGTCAACTTCATAACCCAACCACTTGCCAGCGAGCAATTAGTCTCCCTCACCCTTAGACAACGGGGTGTTAGTGAAGGTCTTATGGGCACGCCTAATCTGAAGACGCTATCGCTACAGACCTCTATACCGACCTCTATACCCGCTGGACTACACACTCTCGTGTTAGATAACCTGTCATTCTTCCCACCCGAGCCCTCCTTCTTTGACACCGAGCTGCCGAATCGGCTACACAGGCTGACCACCTTACACTACAGAGACACCGTACGCACAGTCATTGCATCCCCTGCCCTGGAGATACTGCGTGTGAACCGGTTTTTCACCCATCACGAGCTTGTAGCCACCGTGCGTGCGTGTCCGTGTTTGCGTAAGATATACCTGCTGCACGGGCGGCCTTGGGAGAGAGAGTCCAATACAATGGAGGCCAAGAACAGGCAGTGGGGGGACTTCGCAGTATTGGAGGAGTTGCCCAGTGTGTTCATACCACTCGACCTCAGTCGCACACAAGGACCGGTTTTCTCAGACTTGTTGCTGGCTGGTAAGGTGTCGTACTTCGGTTGATGTTGATAGTTGTTGGATGATATAGAGACCTGTGGTAGTGGGTGGTGGGATGATATAGAGATACGGTCTATTATAAGATACTATGTACGGGTGTGTGTTGAAGATCAAGGTATAACTAGTATCGTATTTCAATGCAATGTCTGATCTGTATACAAAGATCTGTGCCGTTCAGTGGGGAGACAGCACGACAATAGAAGGGAACCCACCCAGTAGCTTCATACCGCTCGATCGGAGCACAAACCACCTTACTCATTATTCTGAGTACGATCACATGACAAGGCCTGGATCACCTCTATCAACATTTAAAGTGAGCCGAGGGGAGTGTGGTCTGAGGAATATGCTATGTGTGTACAGGCAGTTGACACCACAGAGTACTTATTATACACAGGCTATCACTATCAGCACTTGGGTGTATACTACCTAGCTGGGTGGTATGACTTGGGTATTTGTATTTCATGATCCCAATTGTATTACTATGTAAAGCCTGCCACCCACCGTGCCCAGCCGAGGACTACTATGTTGCTGCATTAAACGCGTGTTTTATATACTATTACTGTTCTGTTTTACCACCCCTTTAACTTGCAATTGACAGTGGCTCCTATGAACTATGTTGTTCCATCTTACCATACTTCCTTGTTGGTACTATACAGTTGCAGTGACAGGGCGTTGTACACATCTAACTATACTTGTCCTACGAATATTAATTTTTACTACACAGTAATATAATACTTCATCTACTGTGCTA